GGACGACGACGACGACGGACAATCACTCATATGATAAGCTCCGCTCGACAAAGTCGACAGCGGAGCTAAAAATGAAATGTCCGTCAAATTGACGTAAACTTCCCCATGTTTCACGGCAAAAGCAAAGGTCGTGACCGAGTTGTAGGCTAAAAAATCAAAATCAAAACAAAGTCATCAATCAGTAAGTATTATGACAAGGAAAACAAAACATCAGACGTGAGGAAGAGGTCAGCATAAAACTAATAGGTCAAAAGGGTTGTTAATGTATCAAGTCACCTCTCTCTGTGATTTTTTTTACATGGAAATTATTTGCTTGTTTTCAATTAATTTTAGCGTTCCTCTGCAATTTATTTTAGCATTGTCAGTTATTTGCTTCATTGAATTAAACGGAGTTTGTCCGGTTAAGAACAAAGCTGTCTCGCACTACCTAGTAAAACTTGCGAATGATCGAAGATACCCATTGGACAAAAGATACATGAAAGTTTGTATCTCCCCGACCCAGTGCAATATATCCGGTTAGAATCAAAGCTCACGTGTTCCTTATTTGAGGGACCAGATTCTGCCGTAAATTCGGGATGGGATTTAGAGAAAAATAAAATGGGACTTTTAAGGTGTAATTTGGCATCATTTTTCGGACATTTCAATCATTCCTGACGCCTAAAATAGAGTCTAAGTTTTACCGTAGTTTTACGCCTATTCAAGAGTATGGTGTTCATTGTGACTGGCGTGAATGGGTAAGCTTCGTTTCGACAATGAGCTGTTATCACTGTAAACAATGTTAAATTATTCTCCACATGCTCAGTTTATTTTTTGAAAACAATTATTTAAAAATAAAATCTCTCAGTCAATCAGAAACTCGGATTCACGCCTTCAGGGAAAGTCACGTTTGGACGCTCACATCAGGTTTGTTTTTCGTTTGGCGGTCTGATGCATCTTCTTTCTACCTCTCTTTCTTTTCACACAACGCTTAATGTAATGATAAAAATTAGGAAAAAATGACGAGGAAATATGATGTTTGGTTTGCTAGCGAGCGAGAACTGATTTGAGAATAATTGCACATGCGCGTGATTGAATGAACCATGACCCATACAATCTTGATTTGCATATTTTCAATCAAAGATCCTATTATTTGCTTACTCATGCAAATTAGGCAATTGGACATAAACATTGCCACGTGTGAGTGTTTTTTATTTTTATCCAGAAAATAACTAGCAATTTTAATGGTGTTCCAATAAGAATTCATTGGTCAAATTTTCACAGAATGTTCTTTAGATAAAAATCTATATAAAAAACTATTTTTGATTGAAAATGCAGAGAAATTTAGTCATCAAAAAAGAGCATTGTTTTTTGCCTAAAAAACAAAATTTTTACCTCTTTTTACAAATATATCTTACCTCTTTGCATCCCGGGTTATCTATGAGTTCATAGTTACTAGCATGTAGAGGCTGTCCAGCATTCACCGGGTTTAATACTACTTTATCACCAACAACCACCTATATTCAATACAAAACAATAATATATTTATAGTAAATAACAAATGTAATCAATATTTTTCCTTGCTAGACTGATGTGTAACCTCATACAGGAATCCTGATAAAATTCAAAACTGTTGATTTAGCAATATTAAGGATTGTTCCTGTTTCTGTGAATTTAATTACCTAACGTTTTTAGGTGCATGTGCTGCAAGTTACAGAGCATGTACCTCAGCAAATAATTAAGCTAAGGCATTTTCGATTATATCTCAAATGTGAATATTTGTGGTGTATTTTAAGTGTAACTGGACCTGAAGTGGAAATTTGTTAATACTCTAAATATCCAAACATATAAGGTAGTAATAAAAGTGAGCACTTTAATATGTAACTTTGTTTTACTCTTAAAGGTTGTGTAACTGTTCTTATGTTTTGAAATTATTTAAAAATATGTAACTGAAGTATAAATTTACAAAGAAAGATTGTGGCAAGTGTTACCACAGTGTGGAATCTGATATGTTACTGCAAGAATATCATCCTATATATAAATACTACCACATATGCTTTATTGGAAGCACACCTTTATAGAAAGTATCAGGTTTTGTAGTTACTAGGCAACCATGTAAAGTGATGCTATACCAGCTACAGTTTTGCAGTTGTGTTGAAGTATCAGATAAACCTGTCAGCAAACAAGCTGCTCTCTGATTGGTCTAACTTTTAGGTGTTAGGGTTGAGTAGCCAATCAGGTACAATCTTTTAAATATCTTTGCACTGACTCTGTATTGTATGGAACATATTTATTTGCTATTTTAAGCATCAAGGCTTGACAGGTTTGAAATATTTATAGTATGCAGTCAATCAGTGATGTAGCTAATCAGAGCAAAGTCATCTATTGAAGTGCATGCTAAAGTATATGGAAGATATATTTTTAGGTATCGAAGGTGAATGCTAAAGCTAAGTCATTGGTTACATAAACTGATTTGACTAAGCACACACACTAGCTACTATGAGGACAGTAATAAACTAAATTAACCATATTCTAAACAAAATACAGTGAATATATGAAATAAAAGAAGGAATTGAAAGATCTATATGTGTACAGACAAAATTTGAACAGTTGAGAGAAAGCCCAACTTGATATACACATATAATGAACTAAAAATTACAATACAATATATTGTTTTCACTCATATATGCATTAGATTTAATAAGTTACTTACATTATCACCAGTAGATCTCAGTTTATAAAATGGTTGTATATAAAACCAGGATCCTTCATTTCCTGATGCATCTAAGGTCACTCGCATCGCGTTCTTTTCTAATAATGCTGGAAGACGTTTATTCACTGTTAAATATTTATTACTCTTCAAATGAAGGAGCTGTGAAGAAAATGTTTAACAATTATTCAGAAAAACTGAACACCCATGTGGAAAAACTGTGAACATGGTATGGAAGATTGTGAGCACTGAACACATATTGGGAAACATGAACATCCATATAGGAAGAATATGAACACATGTGGAATATCATGAACACCAAAATGAGAACACTGCGAACACAAAAGGGTTATGAACACCCATGTGGGAAGACTGTATTTGTATACATTATAGGAGAGTGTGAATACCCCCTTCCCCCACTAAATCAGACAAACATACATAAAGACTTTATATCAGACTGAACATACATGGAGACTGAACATTCCCCATATCAGACTGAACATACATCTTCATGAACACTGACTAAACACCCAATATCAAACTGAACATACATGGAGA